GCTGTGCTGGTCAGAGGCTGGGGGCTGGACCCCTGAAGCCTTCACTGCCACCACGTAGAGAAAACATAGCCCACCGAACGTCAGTTCCCCCAGCCCCCAGCCTTGCCTGTTTCCGCACCCATCCTGCTGGTGCCATGAAAACATGGCTTTCCCCCGTCTGCGGTCAGTGTTAGTCTGTCTAGGGCCCCCTCTGTCCTGGGTCCCTCCCATCCTTGAGGGCCTCTCTCCTGGCCAGCTCTCTGGCGTGGCCTCTCTGGCCCCTTGCCATTGTATTCTGCACGCTCTAGTCCCTCTCATCTTAAAAGCACAACTGAAAAACCTTCCTTGTCCTCCAATCTTCTCTCTAACAAACGGTCTGTCTCTCCCCAATGGAAAATAAGTATTTAAAACTTACAAACATTTTATATGTGTACAGTAGACAGGCTAACAATAAAACAAAACATATAGCCCGGCCGGTGTGGCTCAGCGGCTGAGCGTTGGCCTAGAATCCAGGCGATCGGGGTTCGATTCCAGGTCAGGGCACAGGCCCGGGTTGCGGGCTCGATCCCCGGTCGGGGGCGTGCAGGAGGCAGCTGATCAATGACTCTCATCATTGATGTTTCTATCTCTCTCTCTCCCTCTCCTTTCCTCTCTCTGAAATCAATAAAGATAAATTTAAAAAACAAACAAACAACAAAACGTACCTGACCAGAACCCCAGCTAAGAGCCAGACGGTCATTCAGCCCTCCCCCACCCCAGCCTCGTCCCCCGCCAGAGGCAGTCATTTCCCTGCATTTTGGTAATCAAGTCCTTGATTTCTTTGTAGTTTTACCATGTCTACATGGATCATCTTATGTTGTAGCAGGCGAGACAGACAATAAATGAATAGGTAAAATACAGCCTGGAATGTTGTTAAGCTTCACGTGTGTGGAAGTATGCAGTTGGTATTGTGTGCTTTGCCTTTGCCCCTCGGTGTTGATGTGGATAGCTCCGTTCCTTTCTTTTCCACTGCAGTTTTATTTATCCACTTGCCCACAGGTAGACATTTGAGCTGTGTTGCTGGAAGGCTGGGTGGGTGGAATCCCTCCGTTGCTAGTGGGAGTGGGGTTCTTGCAACAGCTTCAGAAAAGGCATTTTCTAAGATTGCACGGGAAAAAGAATGCTTTTTATTTGCGTGGAGTTATATTTCTCGGCTTGCAAAGTCCTATTGTCCTTAAACCAGTCCTGGAAAATATGTGGCTGGGACTTCAGGAGAGCTAGAAGCAAAGCCAGGGTCCAGAGTTTCCATTCCATGGTGGAGCTGAGTTTGGCAGAGCATCAGGCTAGATCCAGCCCATCAGTCCATGGTGTGGGTCCCACAGGACCATGAGCCACGTGGGTGAATGCAGAGTGTGGGAGTCCACAAGCCAGGTCGTACTCAAGCACCAAGAGAGCAAAATTCCTTTGCTTAGGAGCTCAAGTATCTCAGATTCCATGCCCTTGCAGTGGCCACGCCTGCTCTGGCCAGTGACCTGTTCCCAGGTGTGAGAGACAGAGAAGCGTCTTCCCTGTCACCCAGATCTTACATGCGTTTAAACCACAGTTTTCTGGCAAAGCTGTGTGAATGGGATGCCTGTGTTATCTAGTCTCCCCTTTACTCCTTTCCTGTTATTTAATAGCCAGGTTATTATAACGGTATCATTTGCACTTTGCACTGTGAACATTCTTGGACACATCTCCCTTGTGGACACGGGGAACTTTCTGCAGGGTGTGTGTGCAGGAGCGGAGGGGCTGGGGGGAATGGTGTGCCCCACTTTTCAAGATGGGTTGTGTCAATGTGTACACATGTGTGTTCCCGTGGCAGTATCTCCTCCCTAGCCTGTGGGGTTTCACACTTTAAATTTTGGTTTTTTTGCATCACTCTCGTTTTTGGGAGAAAAAGTTCTCTAGGTCTTTACTTTCTTGTTGCCTTTCCTCCATCCCTCAGCCCTCTCAGTTCCCCAAAGGCTGCGATGCTTGAGCTTGTCGGAATTGCCCAGAGAACTGGTTAAAAACGAAGATTTCAGGGCCCCATACCCAGAGTCCAGTTCAACAGGGGAGCTGAATTCCTCACAGGCCCCTGGGCATCACTGTTCCTTCTTTCCCCCAGGGTTTGTATCCTGGGAACCTGAACCCTGTTCTCCTCTCCCCCAGTGAAAGCAGCCACTTCCCTGGCCTCAGTTGCCGTCTAGATGTGCTCTCCTGCATCTCTGTCTGCAGCGTGGTGCTCCCCTGGCCTCCACACCTGTGGCCAGATGCTCCATACAGACAGCCTAGTGGCCCCCTAACCCAACACATCCAAAATGGGGCTTGTCCCCATTACCCAAGTCAGACCACCCTCTCCAGAGGGATCTGAACCCATCACCCTCCTGCGTGGCCTTCCTTGAGGCGCTCCACCTCCTTGCCCCAACTCCAGCCAGTCACACTGTATGTTTCATGCTCTCCCACCCCCTGGCCTTTGCACCTGCTGTTTTCTCTGCCTGAAACCCCATCCTAGACTTGCTAACTCCTACCTGTCCTTCAGGTCTTAGCAGACAGTGAGGGGTAGGGGCAGGGAGGAGCAGGCTTCTAGTGGGAATGCTATAGTCTTCACTCCAGTATTCTTGTCTCCCTCTTCTCACAAAGGTACAGCCTATGAGGTTACCTGTCTTGGGTAATACCTCTTGGTCCAAGCATCTTGGATCTCAGAAGCCAAGATCCCTTTATTCATTCAACAAATGTCTATTGAGCACTTTGCACCAGGATCCTGTGCTAGGCACTGGAGATACAGCAGCTAACAGAGCAGGAAAGAGCCCCGTAGCAGTGGAGCTCCTGCTCTAGCAGGGCCAGGCAGGCAGTGCACAAATGACCAAAATATGCAGTGAAGCGCTATGGAGGAAAATAGAACCAGGAAGGCTGCTCAGGAGGCTGGCACTGGGTGGTGCTGCAGTTTCCAAAGAGAAAATCTTTAGGTTAGGGCTTGATGAAGAGTGGAGAAATGACACCAGAAGCATGATCTATAGAAGAAAAATTGATAAATTGGACTTTATCAAAATGAAAAACATTTGCTTTATGAGAGACCCTGTTGAAAAGATAAGCTACAGACTGGGAGGAAAATAGTTGCAAACCACATATCTGACAGAGGACACATGCCTAGATTATATATATAAAGAGCTTTCAAAACTCAATATCAAAACACATAATCCAGCCCGGCCAGTGTGGCTCAGTGGTTGAGCGTTGACCTGTGCACCAAGAGGTCACTGGTTCGATTCCCAGTCAGGGTTGTGGGCTTGATCCCCAGTAGGGGCCGTGCAGGAGGCAGCCAATCAATGGTCCTCTCATCGATGTTTCTCTCTCTCTCCCACTCCCTTCCTCTCTCTCTAAAAATCAATAAAAACATTAAAAAATATATAATCCATTGAGAAAATGGGCATAAGTCATGGAGAAATTTCACTGAAGAAGATACACAAATTGCAGATAAGTACATGAAAAGATGTTTAACTTCGCTAGCCATTGGGGAAATGCGGATTAAGACCAGAGTAAGATATAACAATACACCTGTTACATGATCTAAACTCCAAATTAGTGACAACATTAAATGCTGGCAAACATGTCAAGAAACTGGATCTCTCATACACTGCTGATGGAAATGTAAAATGGTATAACAGCTACTCAGGAAAATAGTTTGGCAGTTTCCTAAAAAATCTAACTATATATTTACCGTACAAACCAGCGATTACACTCCAGGGCGTTTATCCTAGAGAAATGAAAACTTGCATTTGCACAAGATCCTGTATACAATTGTCCATAGAAGCTTTTTTTGTAATAGTAAAAAATAAAACAACCAAAATGAGTCTCATTAGATAAATGGTTAGACAAACTGGTCACTCATACCATGGGACGCTACTCAGTAATAGAAAAGAATGAACTGTTGATGCCGGCAACAACTTGGCTGGATTTCAAGAGCATTATACTGAGTGAAAAAAATCTCAGATGGCCGAAAAGTATGACACCATTTCTATAACATTCTCCAAATGTCAGAATTATAAGGTGAAAAGCAGATTGGTGGTTGCCAGTGGTTAGGGCTGGTTTTGGTGGGGACGGGTGTGACTGTAGGGGGTCCCACAAGGGAGACCTTGGTGGTGATGGGACGAGTCTGGTGGAATAGTCTGTCCATTGCAGTGGTGGTTACCTGAATCGACACGTGATAAAATGACCTAGAACTATACACACGCACTGTACCAGCACCAACTTCTAGTTTTGATATCATGCTCTGCCTATTGGAAGAGGTGACATTGAGCGAAACTGGGTGAAAAGCACAAGGGACCTCTCTGTACTATTTTTACAGCTCCCTGTGAATTTATAATTATTTGAAAATAAAAAGTTTAAAAATAAAAAGTGTGTTACACCTGTGACAGTGTAATGGGGGGGAAAAGGGGGGATGGGGAAGGCTGAGGTGGGGGTGGTTGGCAGTCTTAACGCAGGAGGCGGGGAAGGCCGCCGAGGTGCCTTCAAGCCCTGGAGGAGGTAAGAGTGAGCCGTGAGCATCGGGAGTGAGGGCATTCCAAGTAGAGGGACCGGCTCTGCAAACGCCCCAAAATAGGTGTGTCCCTGGCGTGTTCCAGGAATAGCTAAGAGGCCACTGTGATGGGAACTTGGGAGCAAAGGCGAGAACAGATGACTTGGCAGAAATAGAGGGGGCGAGAGGCACAATGTAAGTCACTGCAAGGAATTTAGCTTTTACCCTCAATGAACGAGGCACTCGTGAGCAGAGGGGTGACATGTCTAACAAGTCTGTTGTTCTGAAACAGATACTGCGGTGGG